TATATATATATTTATAGGTATATATATATGTTTGTTTTTGATTAATAAACAACATCGCTTAATAACATTGATGAGTATAATTCATTAAAGAGAGGAGACAAATAAAGAGACAAACAAAAAAAGAAGTATTTCTTTTTAATAGAAGGTAGAAGGAGACAGTTGAAGCCATCTGTCTCTCTCTGTCTCTTCATTATCTTTTGCTTGTCTCCTCTCTTCTTTGTTAATGCTTCTTATTATTATTAAACAAACACTGTCTCTCTCTCTTTATGCTGTTGTATGCGGGGCCCCACAGCAGCAGCAGCAGCAGCAGCAGCAGAACTCACCAGCAGCACTGTCTGTCTCCTTTGCTGCTGTACCGAAGAGGTGTAGAGACAGCTGCAGCAGCTGTAATTGTATTTGTTTTATGCATTTATTTTGCTTCGTTTGCGGAACTTAATTCTATCAAGAGCTGCATATACACCTCAATCGACACAAACTGTCTCCTTTTTGTTTTACCCTCAGGAGACAATACAAAGCCACAGCTTCATTTATAATAATTATTTCAATAATAATTATAATTTCAATTATAGTTGTAGTTATTATTTTATCTGTATTATATATATATATATATATATATTATATACATATATATGTTATTTGTTTCGTTTGCTATACAAGACGAAGACGATGATAAAATATATATTTACGGGGTGTTGGGACAAGGATGATACAACAAATGTATTTATAATTTATTTAATTAATTTTTTTGTTTTTATTACACTGTCTTCTCGGGTGTACGTACACCTGAGCTGCATATACACCGCAAAGACAAACAGAGTTGTAGCTCTGATAGTGAGGGCAAATGAACAAATATTTGTGTATATTAATAAATATAATTTATTATTTATTTATTATTTTTAGTAATAATAGTAATACAACACCCGCAAAGATTGTTTCAGGTGGGCTCGGGGCCCCTTTGCTGCTGCTGCTGCTGCTCCGTGCAGCAGCAGCAGCAACAGCAGTAGGTCTCTCTAGGTGTACATACACCGAAATGAATGTTAAAGGAAATATATTAAATATATACCTTCAAACTTTATTAAATTATAATTTAAAACAGCACCAAAACAGAATAAAAAATAAAACAAAAGACAAACGCAAAGGTGTAGCGGAGATAAGCTCAAGGCGTCCCTGCTACAAGCCCTCAGCAGCAGCAGCAGCAGCAGCAGCAGCAACAGCAACAGCAGGAGAAACATTAGCAACACTCAGAAGAGCAGCAGCAACAGCAGCAGCACCACTGGCTACAGAGGCGGCTGCCGTCGCAGAGGAAGTGCAGCAGTTCTTGTAACTGCAGCAGCAGCAGCAACAGCAGCAACAGCAGCAACAGCAGCAGCAGCAGCAGCAGCAGCACTATGCGCGCCTCCTTCCTTTGGCTTGCTGTTGCAGCAGTTACGCTGTACTGCTGCTGTTTGTTACAGCCCACAGCAGCAGTTAGGGCGAGGCAGCCGCAGCAGCAGCAGCAGCAGCAGAAGCTCCTTGCGTTTCTTCATGACACCCCCCACCCGCGTAAACCCTAAACCCTAAACCCTAAACCCTAATCTCTAGATTGTAACCCCCTTAATCGCAGAATCCTATTTGCCTAGTGCTGGGTAAGGGTTGTTTGTGCATTAGATGCGGGTTTTGCTGCTGTTCCTGCTGCTGCTGCTGCTGCTGCTGCTGCTGCTGTTGCTGCTGCTGCTGCAGAGAATGGAACGCAGGGATTGCTGCCTTCGAGTCGCAATTTGCTGCTGCAGCTGCGTGGCGGTTTGTCTGTTCAAGTGCAGGCCATGAACGGTAAACCCTAAACCCTATACCCTAAACCCTAAAACCCTAAACCCTAGTAGTATCTCTTGTGGAGCAGCATCAAGAGTTTGATTGGTGCTGCATTTCTTTGAACTTTACAGGTTCCTGTATATGGCTGTGTTAGGTCTTAGGGTTTAGGGTTTAGGGTTTAGGGTTTAGGGTTTAGGGTTTAGGGTTTAGGGTTTAGGCAGCAGCAGCAGAAGCTCCTTGCGTTTCTTCATGACACCCCCCACCCGCGTAAACCCTAAACCCTAAACCCTAAACCCTAATCTCTAGATTGTAACCCCCTTAATCGCAGAATCCTATTTGCCTAGTGCTGGGTAAGGGTTGTTTGTGCATTAGATGCGGGTTTTGCTGCTGTTCCTGCTGCTGCTGCTGCTGCTGCTGCTGCTGCTGTTGCTGCTGCTGCTGCAGAGAATGGAACGCAGGGATTGCTGCCTTCGAGTCGCAATTTGCTGCTGCAGCTGCGTGGCGGTTTGTCTGTTCAAGTGCAGGCCATGAACGGTAAACCCTAAACCCTAAACCCTAAAACCCTAAACCCTAGTAGTATCTCTTGTGGAGCAGCATCAAGAGTTTGATTGCTGCTGCATTTCTTTGAAGTCTACAGGTTCCTGTATCTGGCTGTGCTAGGTCTTAGGGTTTAGGTTTTAGGGTTTAGGGTTTAGGGTTTAGGGTTTAGGGTTTAGGGTTTAGGGTTTGTGCAGGGAAGCTAATAACAGTGGAGGATGTAAACCCTTCTTCTACTGTGCGAGAGCTGAAGCAGCTGCTGCAGCAGCGAGAAGGCCTAAGCCCTGAGGAGCAGCGCCTAATTGTAGGCGGGAGACACATGAAAGATGAAGACACTCTAGCCTCCTACAACCTCTCCGTAGGGTTTAGGGTTTAGGGTTTAGGGTTTAGGGTTTAGGGGCGGAGGGGTGAAGGGGCTGGGGCTTAGTTAGGGGTTGGGGTTTAGGGTTTAGGGTTTATATGTGGGTTCTAGGGTTTACCGTTTAGGGTTTAGGGCCTAGGGTTTAGGGTTTAGGGTTTAGGGTTTGTGGTGGATGGTGCTTCAGGACAAGACAGTAATACACCTGGTGCTACGCTTACGCGGGGGTTTAAACCCTAAACCCTAGCTGCTGTCTTTATGCGGCAGCAGAAGCATTCTAAGTCTTGCATATACACCTGAAGCGCAGCTTAGGGTTTAGGGTTTGGGGGCAGCCACAGTCGCTGTGGTGTATAGGCAGCTAACATGAGGTTATCAAGACCCGATGAAGCTGAGGGTTTAAGGGTTTAGGGTTTAGGGTTTAGGGTTTGCAGTTTAAGTCGCAGCCTGCTGTATAGGGCTTCGTTAATCTGCCCAATCGCTGCAGCAGCAGCAGCAACAACAACAGCAGCAGCAGCAGCTGCTGCTGCTGCTGTTGCAATTGTTTTTTCTCCGATATGTTGTGGAGTGTTCTGTAGGGGTTTATTTCGGGTTTGTCTTTGCTGCTGCAGCAGCGAGTTTTGCTGCTGCAGCAGTTAGTTTTGTTGCTGCTAGTAGCAGCAACTCTGCAGACGAAGAAAAATTCTCTTCTTTATTCAATGCTCGAAGGCATCTGTTGTTGCTGCTGCTGCTGCTGCAACAGCAAAAGTAGCAGCAGCAGTGCCGGCAGTGGGAGTAGTAGCAACAGTAGCAGTAGCAGCAGCAACAGTAGCAGCAGCAGCAACAGCAGGAGCAGCAGCAACAGGAACAACAGCAGCAGCAGCAGCAGCACATGAGAAGCACGAAACAGAGCAGCAAGAGCTGCAGTGTAGTGATGGCTTAAGACAGCCAAATATATGTGGGATCTACCTCGCTGGTGCTGCTGCAGCTGCAGCAACAGGGGCAGCAGCAGCAGCACCAGCTGCCGCTGCTGCTGCAGCTGCTGCTGCTGCTGTAGAGATAACAGCGCATGCATCCCCTGGAGTATGTACACCACATAGGTCTCGGGTTTTGCTGCGGTTTATTTCTTTTGTCTTTGCTCTCCCTCAGCCCCTTCTCCTCTGCTGCACTCAACCTTAACACACCCCTTCATTTGCTTCTGCTGCTGCAGCAGCAGAAGCAGCAGATCTGCTGCTGTTGCTGCTGCTGAGGGACGGGCATTGGTTGAGCAGTCGAAGCAGATGTTGTATGTGCAGATATTTTTTGTGTATATAATTTTGAACTAAATGATAAATGTATAGACATAAAAACAAATAGATAAATAAATATATAAATTTTAAGGATAAAAGAAAAATAAACGAAGAGCAGCAGACAGCAGCAACAGCAGCAGCAGCAGCAGCAGCAGACACCCGAAGGTCACCTTAGCCTTTCTTCTGTTTCTTCTTGCAGACTTTTTTAAAGAATAATAATTTAAATATATTTTATAATATTTTAAAAATATATTATTATTATTTATTAAGAGATATCTTTCTTTTTATGTAGGAAATAAAACAAAACAGAAGCAGCAGCCGCAAGGCGCTGGTGGGGCCCAGATCTGCTGCTGCTGCTGCTGCTGCTGCTGCTGCTGCTGCTATGTTGGCTTGAAGGTGTTTGCTGCTGAAATAAGGTGTGTGATTAGTTGTTTTGAGGGTATGAAGATAAAGAAGAAGCAAAGAGAGTGGTTTACGGGGTAATAAGCAAGAAACTTCAAACAGATAGACAGCAGCAAAAATAAAAATATAAAAAGCAGCAGCAAAGAATATCTCTTTGCTTCCTTCTTCTCTCTTTTTATTATTTATTTTTGTTTGCTTGTCTTTATATTTATCTAAATTCATTTTAAACGCTCACATTCAGCTGCTGCAGCCAGAAAAAATGCCCCAGTAACAGCTGCAGCAGCAACTGCAGCAGCAGCAGCAAGCTGCAGCAGCAGCAGCTGCTGCAGCAGCAGCCGCAGTAGCAGCAGCAGCTGCAGCAGTAGTAGTATCTGCAGCAACAAGAGAATTAGAAACAGGAGCAGGGCTTCTCCACCACTCCCCTTCCTCTGCAGGAGCCGAGTGCTGCTGCTACGGTTGCTGCTGCTGCTGCTGCTGCGGCTG